CGACGCAGTGGCGCTCCTGGCGCGAGAAGTTGTCCGCGCGGGAAACGAAACGCCTCCGCCATCTTGATGACGTTTTCCTTCCCTTTTCAGAGCACGGCGGACGCGGACACGGGACGGATCGGGTGCGGAACGACTGGCGTCGCGATTTATTTAATTGGTGAGTATATATAACATGTATTAATATTTTCGTTTAATATTTATTGAGATATCCGTCGCGTGGTATGGATTCGGCGCTCGGGTCTTAATAATTCTGGAAAATACGTGTTTCGTGGCGTTTGTTCGGCCGATGGTGTGTCGCGCGGGCAGTCGCGCGAGAGTAACGATCGTATTTTCTAATGTCGCGAAATCGCGGATGTCTGCCAAGATTGATATGCCTATTCGCTCGAATGTAAGATAATAATCGTAGAAATAGGCGGACATATAGTGTTTCCTATTCGAAGTACGAAAAATGCATAATCGCCAAGTCCAGAGCGGGATGCGTAGTGACGCCGCCCGCCGTCGCGCCGCGCCACGTCGCTTTTAACGTGAGAAGTTGACCGTGCGAGAGACGAAACACCTTCGCCATGTCAATTACGTTAATACGTTCTCCTTTTGAAGAACGCGACGGACACGGGACGATCGGCTGAGGAACGACTGGCGTCGCGACTTACTTAATTGGTGAGTATACATGTATATATTAACTTTGCATTTAATATTGTATTTAATATATTGCATTTAATATATTTACTACGGTACCTATCGCAAAGTATAGATTCGGCGCTCGAATATTATATTAATAATTCGTTCGGACGCATTTTTCGAAAGCCTTGTTCGGCCGATCTATCGCATGAATCAATCTAGCGATGCCACGTCGCTTAATATGCAATTTCTATAATTGAGTAAAATTAATTAATGTGTTATGAGAGAAAATGTAATTCCTTTCAATAAATATTTCCTCATACTTCCAGTATTAATGGAAAAATATTTATACTAGAAGTATTATAAATCCGAAAAATCCGAGATTTGTTCCCTCCTGCAGCAGGTTCCTTGATCTTCGATGAGACACTTAATTATCTTTTATGAATTGATTTCACGAAGTCCAACAGAAACAGAGTACATTTAGTTAGTCGTCTTCATCTTGAGGATCATTTTTTTCTACGTTGATAATTCACAGTCATGTATTAATTATGGTTTTTTTTCTAAACTTAGAGAATTCTGTGCCACAAATTAAAGTATTATACTTACCAATACGTATATTAAAATATAAACGTAAATATAAACGCGTTTCTCTTTATTTATATTTTCAGATCATCTTATTCTAATGAGCTGGAAATAAACTTGTTTAATTATATTTCCAGACATAATTGGCTTAAGGGAAGACCAACTTCCGCGTACTCACTAATATAAGCTCTTGAAAAAGTAGTTTCGAACAAATTTAAAAATTTGTTGATACTTATTTAAAATTATATGAACAAAACGTGTGATATTCTACCCTCACTTGTCCTTACAATTCATTTTTTTTATATTTTTACGGTGTACATGCTAAGAAAATTATGTTTATAATGCTTTCAATTATAACATTATTCCCGCGTATTTCTACTACTTGTATTCCTATCTATCTCAACCTAGTATACCGACGTAAACGTACGCGAATATAATACTCCTAAAGGAAAAGAACTGCATTTGCAAGTTTAACGATACACTATTTAGTTTTATGTGATGATATTTTGACGATAATTTCTAGAAAAATGTATCAGTAATCTTATCTTTTACAGGCTATTCCGCTTTTATCGACGAACAAAGAAACTAAACTCAATCGCCGCCGATTGTATAAAGTCTATAAACGGTTCGTTGCGTTTTATTTTCGCGAGTGTCGTTCGAAGTCGTCGGATTATTCGGAATTCCGTCGTTTCTCTGCCGTCCGAGTCCGCCGGAAATAATCGAACGTTAATTCGCGTTTCGGGATTGTCATGTAAAATATCGTTCTTTTTTAATAATTAGCATATAACTGCGTCAATTTCCACGTTCT